CCTATTTATTTGGATTTATAATAAGCCCCAGGTCTCAGTACTAGACTGTCAGAACAATCCATATAGTTTTATATGTACATTGAACAAAAAGAACGTCTGCTTGCTCGGTTTAAGGGAGATACTGTCATGATGTGGCAGGTTTACTAGCCCAGATGCAGAACTCACAGAGACTCAGGCAGGATAAAAGTCCAATATTTATTGGAAAAGCACAGGTTTTCCTCCTGGGGGGCAGAGAAGACAGAGCAGGTTAGACTCAGATACAGGTTCACAGGAACAAACTCACAGGTTTGCAGATTCAGACAGGCAGAGTCAAACAGGCAGGGTGGCTCAGGTTTGCTTCCATGGCAAGGACAACAATCCGGCTCAGAGGGAAGCTCTCACTCAGCTTATATAGGGAGAGCTTTATCAACAGAGCTGATGGGGATCAGGTGTGAGCGCTGAGCAGCAGCTCCCAGAGAAGGATCCACATCGCCCCCTGGAGGGCAAACCCCTGGATCCCAACAGAAACAGAAGCCCACAGGAAGGGATCCACATCGCCCTCTGGAGGGCAAACCTCTGGATCCCAACAGTACCCCCCCCCTTAAGGGCGGATACCAGACGCCCAAAAACAAAAAAACAACCCACCCAGGGCGGGCGGAGGGGAAAACAGGCAAGGAGGGCCAGGCACAGAAACAGAAACAGGGTCCAGAACTCAAAACAACCCACCCAGGGTGGGCGAGGACAGGGAAAGTCTCAGGTGGCCGGCCGTGGGACCGGCAGCAAGGCAGAGTTCCAGGTGGCCAGCCGCGGGGCCGGAGACAAGGCAGAGTCTCAGATGACCGGCCGTGGGACCGGCAGCAGGGCAGAGTTCCAGGTGGCCAGCCGCGGGGCCGGAGACAAGGCAGAGTCTCAGATGACCGGCCGTGGGACCGGCAGCAGGGCAGAGTTTCAGGTGGCCGGCCGTGGGACCGGCAGCAGGGCAGAGTTTCAGGTGGCCGGCCGTGGAAACGGAGCTGAAGCAGATGCTCCAGAGGCCGGCCGCGGGACCGGAGTCTCAGAAGCTGCAGGGGCCTTGGATGAGGGCGCCACCTCCGCTTCAGCAGGAAGACGCCGTCCCTGCTTCTGCAAGAACCGAGGAGAACGCCGACTCTGCTTCTGCAGAAAGCTCCGAGGAGGACGCCGACTCTGCTTCTGCAGGAAGCTCCGAGGAGGACGCCGACTCCGCTTCTGCAGGAGGCTCCGAGGAGGACGCCGCCTCTGCTTCTGCAGCTCAGCAACAGGCTCAGATAGGGCCACCCACTGTGGCTCCGAATCAGGAACTGAGGAGGCCGCCGATTGCGGTTCCGAATCAGGAACACCGGAAGCCACTGACTGTGGCTCCGAACCAGGAGCTGAGGAGGCCGCCGATTGCGGCTCCGCATCAGGAATCGAGGAGGCCGCCGATTGCGGCTCCGCAACAGGAACCCCGGAGGCCACCGACTGCGGCTCCGAATCAGAAACACCGGAAGCCACCGACTGTGGCTCCGCATCAGGAGCAAAGGAGGCCACCGATTGTGGCTCCACATCAGGAGCAGAGGATGCCACCGACTGTGGCTCCACATCAGGAGCAGAGGTGGCCACCGATTTTGGCTCCACACCAGGAGCAGAGGAGACCACCGATTGTGGCTCCACAGGAACACAGGAGGCCGCCGATTGCGGCTCCGGATCAGGAACAGAGGAAACCACATACCGGAATGAAGAGGGCTTAAAGGTCCATGGACGGCGCTGAGCGGGCTCAGGGGTCTCCAGACAGCTCAGAGCGGACCGAAGGGTCTCTCGACGGCTGAGAGCGGGCTCAGGGGTCTCCAGACGGCTCAGAGCGGGCTCAGGGGTTTCCAGACGGCTCAGGGGTCTCCAGACGGTTCAGAGCGGGCTCAGGGGTCTCCAGACGGCACAGAGCGGGCTCAGTGGGTCTCCTAATCAGGTGAATCAGCCTCAGGAATGTCATCGGTGAGTCTGCTGGGCTAGTCTGTTGGCCGGATTGTTCTGTCATGATGTGGCAGGTTTACTAGCCCAGATGCAGAACTCACAGAGACTCAGGCAGGATAAAAGTCCAATATTTATTGGAAAAGCACAAGTTTTCCTCCTGGGAGGCAGAGAAGACAGAGCAGGTTAGACTCAGATACAGGTTCACAGGAACAAACTCACAGGTTTGCAGATTCAGACAGGCAGGGTCAAACAGGCAGGGTGGCTCAGGTTTGCTTCCATGGCAAGGACAACAATCCGGCTCAGAGGGAAGCTCTCACTCAGCTTATATAGGGAGAGCTTAATCAACAGAGCTGATGGGGATCAGGTGTGAGCGCTGAGCAGCAGCTCCCAGAGAAGGATCCACATCGCCCTCTGGAGGGCAAACCCCTGGATCCCAACAGAAACAGAAGCCCACCAATCCAGGTGGCCATGTTCTGTTCTGATCACTTTAGCTAATTTATATAGTACCAATTCACAGAACATGTCATCTCAAGGTACTTCACAGAGGCAATTTAATCTGATCAAACGAGAAAGGAATTAATTGCACTGAGAAGATTCCAGCAGATGTAGTGCATATAACCCATGTATGGAGGCGTCAGTCTTTGTCATGATAGGTTTAAGGTTCTTAGCCCACATGCAGAACACAACGGAGGCTGGGTAAAAGTTTAACAGAGTTTATTGAAGGTTCAGAAAACACAAGATAAGGTACAGGATCTGGAACAGGTCCGGGCTGGTTCACTGAAGTCTGCAGAGATGATAGTTTGATTAGCAGGGCAGGCAGATGAGTAATGAGTCCTTAGATTATTCAGATTCTACCTTGACTGAATCCGGGCTTCTCTTTGAGAGAGAGGGAACCGTTGGGTCCAGAGACTGTTGGTTCAGCAGAGTACACGAGCAGCTGCAGCGTCTAGCTTCTGACTTAGAATGGCAGACCTTGATCAGAGTTTCCAGCTCTTCACTGAGAGCAGCAGGGAAATCCACATAGGAATCTTCAGGTTTGGCTCTCCAGGGCAGATTGGCAGGTTAAGCTCACCCAGAGCTTCAGGCTAAAGACAGGTTTCCTGTGAGGCAAAAACAGAGGAGAGTAAGAATCTGATCTCTCACTAGAGACAACTAAGATTCTTTCAGTTTCAAAGGCTCAGGTTGCTAACCAAACTAAGGTCAACACAGCAGCGTCAAAGAAGGTCTGGCAGCTGGTTATAAAGGGGAGGTCTCCTGATGAGTAGATGCGTCTCAGGTGTGCTGGAAGGCTCCAGCTCCGGGAGACCCACGGCGCACTCTGCTGGAGGAAGGTGGTACAGCTCCAGATCCCAACAGTCTTTACCGTAGTGAACCTGGTTTAAGTTCAGTCCCTTTGATCTTTGCTGCGCCACCCCCACCCCCACAGTTTTGCCAACTCAGCGACTTTGTCGCTATATTTAGCGACTTTTCAGACCCCTCCAGTGACTATTTTTCAAAAAAGCGACTAGCGACAAATCTGGCGACTTTTTACGGTGTCACTGGCGGCTTTTGGAGACTCTTATGTGAAAGCATGTATCGTTCCTATTCTTGTCCTCCAGCGGCAGCTGCTGCCGTGGGGCGCCTCCCCCATCCCAACCCCGTTCTCCCGCTCCCGCAGGAGTCTCTCTCAGCGCTGCAGTCAGAGCCGCAGGATGTTTACCCTCAGCGTCCATACTGCAAATGAAGCGCGCATGCGCCGGGATTGACGGCGCAAATTGATCACGGGGTGCCGCTCCGCCCTGACTTACATTCAAGGCGGGAGCGAGCGGGATGTAAATGTAAAATTTTATTTGGTCTAAAATAAATAACTGAATTTGAAATATTTTATCTTACATAAATAACAGCATTTGATTCACACAGCCACAGTCAGTCAGAGATGGGAAGTAACGAAGTACAAATACTTCGTTACTGTACTCAAGTAGATTTTTTTGATATTTTTACTTTACTTTACTACTTATTTTTATGGCGACTTTTTACTTCTACTCCTTACATTTTTACACCAATATCTTTACTTTCTACTCCTTACATTTTAAAAAATTGGCTCGTTACTTTAGTTTTGAATCATTTCAATGGAGTTACCGTTATTATTTTTCACGTCATCAATACCAAATTCAATCTAATTGGATGGGAATCTACGTTGCATTTGACGCACCACTACAAGATAAATCGACAGATTCGGCGGCATTCATTCGCGGCAAATCATTGCAGCTTGGTGGCGGTGGCGTTAGCATAGTAGTATGGATGACGAGATGATTGAAAATGAACACAACGGAGATCTAGTCCTATTGGCAGACATCCATTTAAAATGTAGGCAACGGCATGAAAAAAGTGGTTTCTACTTTTACTTTTATACTTTAAGTAAATTTACAAGCCTGTACTTTTTTACTTTTACTTGAGTAAAGAAGTTTAATCAGTACTTCCACTTTTACCAGAGTATTTTTTAACACAAGTATCTGTACTTTTACTCAAGTACGGAAAGTGAGTACTTTTGCCATCTCTGCAGTCAGTCACTTAATCACCTTGTCCATTGTGTTTTCCTCTCTAAGATTAACATTGATCTGCTGGTGAGAATCATTATGTCTCAGTCTAAACTGTACAGTCAAAAATACAGAAAAGAGTGGGAATTAAACCCTGAAAAAAGTATATATATTGTTTAGTAAAGTGAGTAAAAACACTATTATATGGTGTTTTTACTCACTTTTTGTCTTTCTGTAACGACATTATTTCTCCCACAGCATCAATAACATGCACATCACTTCCTGTGGAGATTGTTAAAAGTTATATCCAGAGGATGGAACCCGAATATTGTTGTATGATGGTTAATTACTATTCCAAAATGTCATGTGTTCTTTTTTTTCTTACAACATCTGGTTTAAAAAAAAAAGTAGCTGCAGATATTGCACCATCTGTTTGGACAGTTTTTGATTTGTCTTACTTGATATTTTCTTTGTATTTTGTGTTACAGTGAATTCATCAAGTTATTATGAGTATGATTATGATTATTATAATCATACTCATAATTATGATAATTTTCCTACTGAGGGCCATTGGATATTCTCCTCAGGTAACCTTAACCACCTTTGTTAATGCTTGCAAAACTTCCTGCTGCTATTATTTAAATGCATTTGAACAGAACAACTGGAGGGGCAGACAGGTCCTTGGTTAGTAAGATTTTACAGAGAATAAGGGTTCTTAGATATGAAAAACCCGCTAAAAGATAAATATTTAAGTAGATACTTGATTGTAATGGCTTCATCAGACGAAGAAGGTTACAAGTAAGTTTCAGTGAGACATGTTGGTAGTGATAACTTCTAGAACTAGACATTCAATAAGACATTTATTGACCAGAAATATACATTTGGAATCAAATGAAGGTCAAATTTACAAATGTATATATAATTTTAGGTGGAAATCTTACTATATAATTTAGTTTAGATTTTCTTTGTAATGACAATAAAAAGAGGATATTTTTTTTTCTGATAATGCTAAATACTCACTACAGCCCTTCTTTCATTTTCACCCCACTGTATATAATAACTCTGTCTACAGTAGAGGTCACCGAGGCGCTGCCTGCAGAAACTAGGCGTCCGAGTAACAGACGCATGTTTCAAAACATTTAATCAGTTAAAACATTTAATCAGTTAAAACAGTTAAAACTCAGTAAATCAATAAAACTTACAAAAGAAAATAAACCGTCCATCCATCCATCATCCATCCATCCATCCATCCATCCATCCATCCATCCATCCATCCATCCATCCATCCATCCATCCATCCATCCATCCATCCATCCATCCATCCATCCATCCATTCATCCATCCATCCAGTAGGAATAGAAAGTATTTTTTTTCAGGGAACCTTAATTGTTTTCTATCGTTTCTCTGTTTCTCTCTTTACAGCTAGCGAACTCTCACCACAGAGAGGAGCTGTTGCCAAGGTGCAAAACCTCTGCCTGGTTTCTGTGATCTTAAGTCTGTGCATAAAAGACTGAAAATGATGATGAATAAAGGGAATAAAGAGTTTTGTTTCTTCCTCTTTATTTAGGCTGCATTATAAGAAATGTTTTAGCTTACATTGGGGTTTGATTGTTTGGCAGTAAATTAAACAATGGAAATTTCAAATTTACATTTTGGTTGGAATTATGAAGTGAATTTGTTAATCATGTCATTTATTTGAATTTTATTCTGTAAATTACCTGAACTTCTACACAAAGTCTGTCTGACTGCATAATATCTAAACAATAAATAAAATTTGATCCAGCATGAACTCTCTCCACTATTTTTACTTTTAATTGAGTAATAAAATGTTGATGTTACTTTTACTTGAGTGTAACTTCTGATAACTCTATCCAGCCTTGCTACATTTATTCAGATTAAATTCTTCTTTTAATTAAACTAAACAGTTATTCTCTAATTTGAAAAAAAAAAATCTACTATCATTTGCTCTTATCTCTAGCAATTTTTGTGAAGTTAATATGGAGCATTTATGCATTAAGTAATGGTAACTTGTGTTAAATTCCCACTCTTCCAGCTTTATTTTAATTCCTTCCTTGAACAGAGAACGTGCACAATATACCCAATGTCTTGTATTCATATTTTAAATTACAAAGCAATCACTTTCATATTAAAGTTAAATTCTTTCCCTGCTGGACTAATGGTGCCTTTATTATCATCAGAATTTGAACACTAGAAGTTAGAGGGACGTAATCTTCAAGGTAAATGTGTTTTCTACTTGTGTACCCCCATATTCTCCATGCCCACTGTTACATCCATAACAATTAAAATCCCACCTTCAGTTATAGACTGTATTATGTGCATAAACACAACACTAAAACATATTATAAAGACAAGAAGTTCCTGATAACTGTCTTACATACATAATAAAGAACCACTTCAAACATAAAGTAGGAAAGTCTAACTAGGGATGATGTGAGCAGCATCCAACTCGAATGCAGAAGTTGGGTACCATCCTGCTGCACTGACTTTCCAACACTAGTGAACTGTGATGGAGCCATTTCTGCAGGCCTCTTCAGCTACTCCTCACTCTGTCACCTTCAAAAGCTCTGAGATGACTCTGTCATAGTCGGCCTCCTCAAAGACAAAGAGAACTCATCTTTTGAAGGTTAGGGCCCTTCGTAAATGCCTTCCTTGACGCTGCATCCATCGGTGGTCTTTTATGGTATGGGATTTTGGTGCAGCAACTCATCCGCAGCTGATGAAAAGTAGCTTAATTAGCTAACTAATAAGGACCTGATTTTATTTAAGATTTCTCCTGCCTGTTGGACAGTGCCACAGTTGGCTGCGCTGTTGCCTTGCAGCAAGAAGGTTCTGGGTTGGAGTCTCTGGCCAAGGGTCTTTCTGCATGGAGTTTGCATGTTGTCCCTGTGCATGTGTGGGTTCTCTAGAGGCAATTCCTCCCACTTTAATGGTTTCTGCACTGATTCTTGCCTGATCACTCAGTCCATACACCTGCTCTGCTCCACCTGTCCGCAATCAGCTCTGACCGGAGTCACCTGTTTCCAGCACTTTAAAAACCCCATCAGATCAGTCCTCTGTGCCAGATTATCTTGAGCCAAACCGCTACGAATAGTCCAGCATCTAAAAGAGTACCTGACCGCCAATCTGTTTCTGACCTGATCTGCCTCCTGATTCCAAGCCTGCCAGACCCCTGTTTGATTCTGCCTGCCTGATTACCCTCTCTGCTCTGCCTCTGGATCCCCGGATCTCTGAGTCGTTATGATCGGCCTGCCTGCTCCCCTCTCTCTGGATCTCTGACGCGGAAAAGCTCCGCTCAACTGCCTGCCTCTCTATCCTGGATCTAACTGGTAAAGCCTCCCTCAATCTGCCCGCCTGTCTACCTGCAGCCTGTTTGCCCACACAGATTCAGCCCAGCTATCAGATTAACCCTTTCAATAAACCAATCAAACGTCACTAACCTGTCTTGGTTTATTTGGATCCAGTCTCTGTCTCATTACACCCACAGTCCAAAAACATGACTGTTAGGTTAATTGGCTCTACGTTATGCTTAGTTGTGAGTGTATCTGTGCATTGTTCTATGTCTTTATGTTTCTCTGTGTTGCCCTGCAACAGACTGGTGACCTGTCCATGGTGTACCCCAACTCTCGCTTGTAGACTGACGGAGATAGGCATCACCCGCAACAAGACACTGACAAGGACTAAGCGGGAGAAGATGGATGGAAAATATGGATTTCTTCTGCTAATAATGCAGGTGGGAGACAAAAAGTAGATAAAATGTATAAATCTCTATTGGAGAGCTCGTTTAGTGACAGACTGTTGGATTATAGATGCATGCCATGCAGCATTTCCACAAATCTTCTACTTACTGGTAAACTTCTTTGCAAAAATCTTTTCTGCTTCCAACAGTGCAGATAATCATTTGCACACACAGGCTCTTTATGTGATCTCTTTTTTATTTGACAGTTCTAACCCATTCAATGTGCTTTACAGATTGCTTCTTTCTGCTATGGAGGAGTGTGCTTTTTAGTTATTTGCTTTTTACCTAAATACGTCTATTCTTATTAACAGCTAAAGTATTTTCCATTCCAAGGGGTTTTCCTTTTCTCATCTGCTGTGCAGCTTAAATGTGTTGATCTTTTCGCATGATTTAATTTTGAGTGCAAGTTTGATGTCTGTCTACAGGTTTTCCCTCACCGTAGGACAATAAAGCCATTTCTTTTATTTTTATCATCATCATCCTTACCCACTCCTCTCCTGTGAGATCAACAAGACCTTTCAATCTGCTAATCTAAGGCTCTGAGAATACTTTTCCATTCCAGACTCTTCTCTGTGATGAAGTGAGAGACATTTTCATCTTGAAAAGCTAAGTTTATCAAAAGTTTCAGTTTCACTCAGAACAGTCTGTATGAAAATCCGACCACCGCCTTCATGGGGCATGGAATCCCCTTTCTTTCCCGTTTTGATGCTGTTTTTAACCTTTAGAAGGTAGTTACTACATCTAGTAAACTGAGCTGCTGACATGTGATTGGCTAATTTACTGTCTGTGCTAATAAGCATTTGAACGGGGGGACCTGTTAAAGAGAATGGACACTGTGGAGAATTTGGCTTCAAGCCAAACTAAGTTTTGAAGAAGCAATGAAAGGAGTAAAGAACATTTAAAATGAAATGCCTTGTTAAGATTGTAGCTGTAAATTGAATTTTTGATTGCTCTCATATGTGTTCGTGAGGGAGAGGCGAGAAAGAAGAGCTACTGTTGCATCCTGTGTGGATATGGAGCTTGCTCTGTGGCTGATGACTCAGTTCCTGAACACTGAGTTATACTGAGAGTGATTTACAGAAAGACACCAAACAATTGGCAGGTAGAGGAGGAAGAAGACTGGCAGGTTTGGGTGGTAGAGAGCGCATATGGAAAATGTTAACACGAAAAGAAAAAAAGAAAAGTACATGGAGGGGGCATAAAAAAGGGGACATTTAGAATGAAAGGAGAGACTGAGTCCTAATGACCCTTTTCCTGCACATAAAACAATATATTTGGTCAGATACAGTGGGGCAAAAAAGTATTTAGTCAGCCACCAATAGCGCAAGTTCTCCCACTTAAAAAGATGAGAGAGGCCGGTAATTTTCATCGTAGATATACCTCAACTATGAGAGACAAAATGAGAAAAAAAAATCCAGAAAATCCCATTGTCTGATTTTTAAAGAATTTGTTTGCAAAATATGGTGGAAAATAAGTATTTGGTCAATAACAAAAGTTCATCTCAATACTTTGTTATATACCCTTTGTTGGCAATGACAGAGATCAAACGTTTTCTGCAAGTCTTCACAAGGTTTTCACACACTGTTACTGGTATTTTGGCCCATTCCTCCATGCAGATCTCCTCTAGAGCAGTGATGTTCTGGGGCTGTCGCTTGGCAACACGGACTTTCAACTCCCTCCAAAGATTTTCTATGGGGTTGAGATCTGGAGACTGGCTAGGCCACTCCAGGACCTTGAAATGCTTCTTATGAAGCCACTCCTTCGTTACCCGGGCGGTGTGTTTGGGATCATTGTCATGCTGAAAGACCCAGCCACGTTTCATCTTCAATGCCCTTGCTGATGGAAGGAGGTTTTCACTCAAAATTTGACGATACATGGCCCCATTCATTCTTTCCTTCACACGGATCAGTCGTCCTGGTCCCTTAGCAGAAAAACAGCCCCAAAGCATGATGTTTCCACCGCCATGCTTCACTGTAGGTATGGTGTTCTTTGGATGCAACTCAGCATTCTCTCTCCTCCAAACACGACGAGTGGCGTTTTTACCAAAAAGTTCTATTTTGGTTTCATCTGACCATGTGATATTCTCCCAGTCATCGTCTGGATCAAATGCTCTCTAGCAAACTTGAGACGGGCCTTGACATGTACTGGCTTAAGCAGGGGGACACGTCTGGCACTGCAGGATTTGAGTCCCTGGCGGCGTAGTGTGTTACTGATGGCAGCCTTTGTTACTTTGGTCCCAGCTCTCTGCAGGTCATTCACTAGGTCCCCCCGTGTGGTTCTGGGATTTTTACTCACCCTTCTTGTGATCATTTTGACCCCACGGGGTGAGATCTTGCGTGGAGCCCCAGATCGAGGAAGATTATCAGTGGTCTTGTATGTTTTCCATTTTCTAATAATTGATCCCACAGTTGATTTCTTCACACCAAGCTGTTTACCTATTGCAGATTCAGACTTCCCAGCCTGGTGCAGGTCTACAATTTTGTTTCGGGTGTCCTTTGACAGCTCTCTAGTTTTGGCCATGGTGGAGTTTAGAGTGTGACTGTTTGAGGTTGTGGACAGGTGTCTTTTATACTGATAACGGGTTCAAACAGGTGCCATTAATGAAGGTAACAAGTGGAGGACAGAGGAGCCTCTTACAGAAGAAGTTACAGGTCTGTGAGAGCCAGAACTCTTGCTTGTTTGTAGCTGACCAAATACTTATTTTCCACCATATTTTGCAAATAAATTCTTTAAAAATCAGACAATGTGATTTTCTGGATTTTTTTTTCTCATTTTGTCTCTCATAGTTGAGGTATTTCTATGATGAAAATTACCGGCCTCGCTCATCTTTTTGAGTGGGAGAACTTGCACTATTGGTGGCTGACTAAATACTTTTTTGCCCTACTGTATTTTCTCTGCTCTGTAGACATTTGCTCTAATTTTGGCTTAACGTCATAAGAAACCCACCAACCACCAACCTGTCTACGTTTCTAACCGGTTTTCCCCACTCAGTAACGCACCCACTGAGAAGTCCACTCTGGTAATTGGCAGCTCCAGTCAGAAAAGTGGCATTAGAGACACCAGGGACCATAGTCAAATGTTTGCCGGGCGACATCAAATTTTACCTGAATCTGCTAAAGGATAAGGTTAAATACAGTAAGGTTGTTACTCACGCTGGCGGTAATGACACCCTGTTATGCCGATCGGAGGTCACTAAAAATAGTGTTGCTTCAGTGTGTGAGTTTACCAAAACAATGTCCGACTCTGTAATTTTCTCTGGTCCCCTCCCTGATCTGACGAGTGATGACATGTTTAGCCGCATGTCGTCCTGAAAACAACAAGGGCTACATTAATAATTTGCAATCCTTTTTGGGAAAGCCTGGTCTGATTCGGAGAGACAGCATCCATCCCACTTCGGATGGTGCAGCTCTTCTTTCTAGGAATCTGGCCACATTTATTAGTCCACCAAAACCCTGACCACCCAGGGTGCAGATCAGGAAGCAGAGTCGCAGTTTAACACAGCTTCTCTACTGTTAGCCACTGATTACTCCATCCAGGCAGTGTCTTTCCCCCAACCAAAATCTAATAAATTAGCAAAATTAAAATAACTCCATTTGGGGAAAAGTTAAAACGATTAAATGTGGTTTATTTAACAAAACATCTCTTTTTCAAAAAGTCTGCTAGTTAATGACTTGATTTGTGATAATCACATTGATTTATTTTGCCTAACAGAAACTTGGTCGCAGCAAGAGGATTACGTGAGCATAAATGTGGCAACTCCTTCTAGTTATTTAATTTTTCACATATCTAGAAGTTCTGGGCGAGGAGGAGGAGTAGCAACAATCTTTCAGTCTGACTTACTGATTACACCCAAGGCAGTTAATTATTACAACTCTATTGAACATTTAACCCTTACTTTCCCTCTTCCAAATTGCAAAGCCAGAAAACCTCTTCTTTTTGTTACCTTTTATTATCCACCAGGTCCTTATTCTGAATTTTTAGATGAGTTGTCAGAGTTCCTATATGATTTGGTGTTTAATATTGACAGGGTCATCATAGTGGGGGATTTTAACATCCATGCTGACATTAAAGGTTATAGATAAAGTGCAGCCTTTAATGCTATCTTAGACACTATTTGTCATGTTGGGATTAATGTGTCTAACCCACATGCAGAACACTCGGAGGCAGATGAAAAAGTTCAAAGATTTATTAATAATAAATGTACAAAGTATGTTCAGATCCAAGAGGGGGCTTGACTGGTCACGAGTGGGTTCACTGCTGAGGAGGACAGAGAGATTAGTGGAGGTCCAGGTCTTTTGCAGGTTGTGAGTGTTCAGTGTCCCCTTCACAGGTTGATGATTATGTTGATGGGGTTGCTAGTTATCTGAGTACTGCCTTAGACAACGCAGCCCCTTTGAAAAAGAAAAACTTTAAAAATAGAAAGCTGGCTCCCTGGTTTAATGCAGAGCTGCACACACTGTAGATAAATGCTACTCAACTGGAGAGAAAATATCGCTCCACAGGCCTACGGGCACCCTTTGTAAAGCAAGAGCACCATATTTCTCCTCATTAATAGAGGAGAATAAGAATAATCCTAGATATCTTTTTAATACAGTTGCCAAACTCACCCAGAGCCATAGCTCTTGTTAAAAGGGAGTTTTTCCTCTCCACTGTCGCTACAAGAATGCTTAGTGTGAGGGATTGCCTTTGAGTCAATGAGTCCAAGCAATTAACTGGGTTTCCTTAGATAGAAAACAATTTGACTGCATGATCTGGTGAACTTTAAAGTGCCTTGAGCTGACATGTGATGTGAATTGAATTGAACTGAAAGGCCACAGGCCAATAGTGGAAGATGAGATGCAGTTCTTATTCGTGGCTCCACCTCACAACAAAAAACCTTGATGAGGTCAGGCCTCAGAGGCAGTTTGAATTCTACAAACCACAAAATGTAACGTACATCAGAGAGGAGACAGCGGAGCTGAAGAGAGCAACGCTGAATAAAAGGATGATATGAGAGGATGGGGGAGGGCGGGTGATACAGAGAGAGAGAGAGAGAGAGAAAGCGAGGCTTCGGGTTAAAAAGTAAAAAAGTGAGAAACGCAGCAAAGCAAAAGGATAAAAGAAAGAGGAAAAATAGTACTGATAAAAGGAAAACTGCTGCTTCACTGGTGATTACAGCTCCTTTTAAAAAAATAACAACAAAGGAAAGTACTGAAGACCAAAGAGGAACATTTTAACCATGATGCTGAAGCTGTTGTTTCTGCTCTGCTTCCTGGGTGAGTTTACCTCAATTGCAAACCGACTGTTGCTCTCTGCGTCTTCTAGTTTCCCTCAAAGCTTTAATTAGGCTTAGAAAGATGCTTCCTCAGATGTCTAATTTGAAACTTTCACTTCTCAAATTCATTTCAGTGAAATGATGCAAGAACGTTACTTCATATTTTGTGCTTTGCTATCCTGGTACGTCTTCTTTTGGACTTAAATATGCATTTGCATGATTTCCACGTAATTAATTAGTCATTTTAATCATGCATTTCATACAGAAAGTAAGTTACACTGCAGTAAATTTATGTTTCTTCCAAGAAGAACTTTCATATTTTTAATGTGCAAAGTGTACACGTGCTAAAATGTGGCATCAGCTTATATTCTGTTTAGGAGGAAGCAATAAAATGTCTTAATATATTTGGCATCTCAATATAGGGCTAGCTTCTTCCAGGTCATTTTTTTAATGTATTTTTTTTCACTTATTTATTTCCCCAAAACAGATGAAAAATGTTAGATTTGAGAAGTTGTGCTATATAATTCACCGCTATAATAACTTCCAAAAACTATAGCTAAATGTATAAATTTAGTACGACCAGACATTTGCATGTTTCCAGAGTTAAAAAAGCCAAGGAAAATTATAAATTTCAAAAATATTGACCTTTAGCTCTGGGGCTAATTAACTGATGACTATGATGCCCTTTGTTTTATCACTCACTAAATAACTAAACTGTTAAACAAAGTGACATAAACAGTTGATAACACTAAAATAAAAATGTAAGGTTGTAGGTTAGCAGTGTTACACTAAGAACAGCCGCCATGTCTGGTCATGAAGGCTGTTCAGGAAGCATAATGGGTGTGGGAGTTGGGACACAGTGAGATATTACAACAACAGTTGTTTGTTTTATAAGGTCTAAATAAAAATACAAAGTTGAGCCACCACTGCCTGTGTTCACTTCAACCACAGTTTAAATGTGTTATAAGCTCCATCTTCATCTCCATACAGTATCGCTTTTTTGGCATCACTTTCAGCTTAGGATTTAAAGCTATTACATTCTTATATATCAAACTTGAGTTAAAGAGCAATGCATTAACAGGATATCAATACAATCTAAACATCAGAGAAACTTTAAGTTTTGCAGCATATGAAATAGAATTATAATGTGATCAGACTTCTAACACCTCTTTCACACATTTTAGGCGAACATTTGTTTTTTTTCACACATCTGAAAAGCAGCTACATTGACAAGCAGCGGGTGACGGTCCACCATTACCAGTAAAAGCTATGCATGCATCTGTACATCTGCATTTCATATTTTCTATTGTAGATGCAAGCTAGGACATTTCTTTAGAAATCTTTGTCTACCTTGGCACATGTCCTTGAGGATTAGATCAAATTCGGGCATAGATCTTGGACTTTTATCTTTGTTTTTAAATTAAAGGATATGAGGAAGGGGCGATGGTGGCTCAGGAGGTAGGGGTCTCCCTCTACAGTAAACAGTGAGTTGTCGGGTCAAACCCTTGCTTCATCTGTCTGGGTGGCGGTGGTGCGTCCTGCATCTTGTCTCCTGTTGGTGATCATGACTGTATAATAGCCTTGCTGCCATCATTTTGCCCCAGGGCAGCTGTGGCTGCATTGTGGCTTATCACCATCAACGTAAATAATTGCGTTGATGGAGTGTTGGAGTCCTCGGACTTGTTAAAGTGCACTAAAAGTAGTGAAAAATATACTTAAAAGTGCATAGAGAGCACTACCATTGTAGCTACAGTTGTGTATTTATTTATTTATTTGGATTAATTGTAGCCCATGCTTCTATGTTACAGATTTGATAGTGGAAATAATTAGGACTGCTTGTAGTCAGTTTGAAAACTGAACTAAAAGAAAGTCTGATGGGAGGAGATACACAGAAACCAAATCGTAGGGTTCTAATTGTAGCTTCTTGTCTCTTCTCTAAACCCAACTATTATGTTATATCCTGTACTTACTAGACTCATTTGTCTAAAGTTTTTCCATTTTGAGTCTTTCTAGTATTCAGAAACATTTCGAGATATTCTAGAGGTATCCACTCATTGTGGGACAAATCTAGTACCAGCCTAGAAAATACAGTCTAATGTTTTATATGTTTCCACAGTTTAGAGCTATTAATCCAGTTAAAATGTAACACACTAAAAGCATTACATCAATTGTTTACTTGCCCTTTTCTTATTAACCTAACCTTTATGATCTCTCTTCCTGGTTTTCAGTATTTAATTTTTTATTTATTTCTTTTTATGATATATTTGCAGAAACCTCAGCTCAAATAAATACAACAGAACAGAACATGGTCACACAAGGTAAAGTTTTTCATATGCTCTGTTAATCATGGATTAGTGTCTTTTCCATCCATCCATCCGTCCATCCATCCATCCATCCATCCATCCATCCATCCATCCATCCATCCATCCATCCATCCATCCATCCATCCATCCATCCATCCATCCATCCATCCATCCATCCATCCATCCATCCATCCATCCATCATATATAGCAACCTGGAAAAATCATTCCTTTGGTCACTCCAACCCTTTCTATCTTTGCAGCCTTGCTTTATTTCATGTCTCCACTCTTTGGGTAATTTTTATTTTGGGAGAAGCTCCAAGCCTTTCTGATTTCTTATGTGGTTCAAGTCAGTACTCTCAAGGGGAAGCTCTAAACTATAATTAACTACTATTAATGACTGACAGTCCTCCAAATATTGACACATGCCACAAGTCCCCCAAAAGATTATGCCTATACTTCCTGATTATGCTCCAACTTCTCTATTAACTCAATGTAAAGATGAATAGCTCTATTTCAAGCTCCACGTGGATCAGAGATCTCCTTTCCTGCCTATAGAGCGTTTCAGACGCTTTCAGCTGATCTATGGCTGATCTGACTTTGGCACTCAAAAGGTTTCAAAACCAGACTTTCCGCTTTCCACCAATTTACAATGAGAATCTGAGTACAACTTGACAGAGAATATAACATAACCCACAGATTCCCCTGTGGGTCACCAAGTAAAAAGTGCTAAGGTGATCTCCACATCAACATTAACATTTAGAAATGATTACACCATGATTATAAAACAAAGTATAAGGTATTAGGGTTTTAATTTTAACTTTAATTGACAGTTTTCTTTATGACCAGATGCTTCAACAATGAGTTCAATAGGTTGCTTAAGTGTAAAAACAATTAACCAACATGACCAGAGAACTCCCTGATGTAAATCAAAATACCCCAAATCCTTTGTACTCACTTGATAAGATAAGGTAGTGTGTTGTTTCGTATCCAGCAATGGAGGGACGTTTTGAAATCTTTATTTATTTTGGATTTATAGACAGACTGTGTTTAGGCAGTGTCGGCAATTGAGTGCATCCCTGCTTCAACACACCTGAAACAAAAGGCCAAATTATTTCCTTGGCATGTTGATAAGTTTAGAGCAGGGGTGTCAAAGTGGTTCCAGAAAGGGCCGTGTGGCTGCAGGTTTTCTTTCCAACCAAGCAATAGCACATCAGACTCATTCATCTCATGAAGTCATCATGTTCAGATTGGACTCTCTTGATTAGATAACTGGAGTCTGGTGTGCTATTGCTTGGTTGGAAAGAAAACCACACGCCCCTTTCAGGAACCACTCAAACACCCCAGGTTTAGAGGAAGTCTGGCCATTTACCATTTATTGGTTCCAGCTGGGGATGCTCAGTGGCGCAGTGGTAGCACTGCTGCCTTGCAGCAAGAAGGTTCTGGGTTTGATTCCCAGCCTGGAGTCTTTCTGCATGGAGTTTGCATGTTCTCCCTGAGCATGTGTGGGTTCTCTCTGGGTACTCCGGCTTCCTCCCACAGTCCAAAAACATGGCCATTAGATTAATTGGTTTCTCAAAATTCTCATTAGGTGTGAGCGTGAATGGTTGTTTGTCCTGTTTGGCCCTGCGATGGACTGGCGACCTGTCCAGGGTGTACCCCTTGCCCGTAGACAACTGGAGATAGGCACCAGCACTCCTCGCGACCCCATTTAAGATAAACGTGTAAGAAAATGGATGGATGGATGGATGGGTCCAGCTGTGATGAAGAGAGGAGGCATGCAAAAACTGCAGAACACTGGCACACGAGGGCCGACGTTGCCAACCTATACTCTTCAAAATTTATACAGTTTCAACATTATGAGGATCTTGATTTGGGGACATCTTAAAAAATGTTTGGATAACTTTTGTCTCTACCACAGGATCTGATTATGTCTCGACAAAAACAGCAACAATGGAGGCGACCAGCTCCAATATGACAAAAGATGAGGCTACCAATACATCAGTGTCAACTCTACTGACATCCACAACCTTGGCCAACAAGTCACTGAAATCAGAATTAACAACATCAGCAACTGTGGTAACAAATCTGATTTTATTTAATTTTATGGATGTAGCTAAAAACCAGAACATCCTCTGAGGTTTAAAATGAGTGAAATATAAGTTCATGAGCTCAATCGGAGCTGCGTGTAATTGTTCCTGCATCATTGCAGTATTAACTCAGCAGTGGAAAAGAACTTCTATGATATTTGACAGCATGTTTCGTGTATAGTGGCCAACTCGCTTTATGTTAACATTCCACCTGTTAGAAAGAATCTCAGCAGTATTTTAAGGAGTCATGCTTTTGGATAGGATCAGGTATGTACATCACAAGATCAACTCATTTTAGGTGTTGTGGATATGAAGATAGACGTATGAAAGTTTGGACACATACTTTTAAAAGGAAGAATAACAAGTAGATTGCTACAAAGATGATGAGGCCGTAACTGCAAGGCAGGAGGTTTAGAGGTATAACAAGGAGGAGAATTACGGATGGCTTTTAAAAGGACATGAGGGTAGATGGTGTGACAAAGATGCAGACTACTGGGTAAGATTTGACATATGCGCTTTGACCACAACTAAATAATAAAATTGAAAGACGAAGAGGAAGAAGAATTTTAGTACCTCCCTAGTAGCCATGGCGCTAAAAGCTCATTAAGAGTGACAGTGGGTTTGTATTGACAAAAAACTGTTGTGTGAAAAGATTGTGAGTTTATTTTAAGCATTATTATCATCACAATGTTAAACAATATTTAATGCATACCTGAAATGGTGTAGGCATGCTTTCAGTGGATACTTCTAACAGACTCTAATATTGATTATACTCAAAAGGGCAGATTTAAGACAGAAAAATATTTTTCTCCAAGCTCGACCTGTTTGCAATATTGGGTTTCTCTGGAATAGCCATATGTTTATTTTGTATCTTTTAACTTCTTTATTTCTTCTTTTAAGTATCAACAAGCATACATTTAAAAGATTATGCAGTACCTTTAATTTCACTGATTCTTTGTTTTTACTGTGCATGAAATTGATTTCTAATATTAAATAATAATCACTACCCCACTGAGGGTAACAGCTGTATAATGTAGATTTTTTTCCTCGAGATCTCATTTCAGACTTCATATGTAGCAGCCATCTGTGTCATCAGCTGACAATTAAAAAAAAATAATGCTGGACAAAAAATAAAAGAATGCAATAGCTGCAAACTTATAAGAAAAGGTAAATATCTTTAACTATTAAAAGAGTTCATTTAAGCCTAACTTTGCTTAATATAAACAGGGATGCTAATGTCAGCTTAGCTCGTACAAAGTTCTAGATTTAACATTAATCATATAGAGCATGTTGCTACTTCTGGCAGAAGTGTTCATGACTGTTTAATTATGACCTCAATCAACCATTTTTAACTCTTTAGGTCAACAATAATTAACCTGTAATGCTTTGCTAACTTTATGAGCCACAAACAGGGAAACTCTGCTGTTTTATTGAAAAACATTTTGTGAAATGGTGTTTACTTTCTCATGTTTGTTTCACCCTCAGTGACAAAATCTGACATGAGCACAGAAAAACAGGTCAACACAAGAGAAAGAGAGAATCTACAGGCGAATAACAAAACTAGGCCACAAATGCTGAGAATGAGCAAAAACTCAAGCCCCTGTCATGGTATCAAATATAAAAGACAGAAAAAATACAAATACAGTCCAAATACACATTAAAAATATACTTTGAGTGTAGTTTACGTGTGCATGTTTTAAACAAAACAGTTGTATGAGTATTTATTACAAGTGTCCTTTAGCAGAATTTTGACTTCATATAAAACCATTAAAGTATAAATTGGTTTAATCTGCAGGGCTAGTTGATTGTTTGCATCTCCATCCTGCAAATAAAAGGTTACAGCGTCCTCAGTCAGACCCCTAAAGGGCGGGGTCCCTTTTAAATTTTCAAACAAAAGAGGAAGCAAAATGTGGGCTATATTAAGATCAAGACATTGAAAAAGGGTTGCTAGATGTGCTACTGACCAAATCTTTTTGTTTCTGTGCAAGTTATAGCCTGGAGTTACACATCACATGCAATAAAAATGACTGCAGGAAAATCAATGTAGAATGTGATTCTTAACCTCAAATCTTTACATAACTGTATCTAAAAGTTAGCGGTGGCTGTTTAGAAGGTGCTTATTAAGTGAAGTTAAATTCAAATGTTCTTTAAAAAGCTGTGTATATGTAAACTTACTTAATTCAAACCAACACTAGGTCTACTGCTCTAGAAAAACTCCAGACAGGAAATGTGAATTTGGGTTATAGTGCAAAGCCCACCATGAATGTTCAGACCTTTATGGGCAGAGAAAGATTTCAGATTATCTGATGCCTTAAAATGTTAAACTATTACATTTATTTAATGTAAAACATACAGTAAAAACGAAGTAATTTGTTTGTGTTTTTTCTTGAACAATCAAAGGAAGAAGGAGACAACATATACAAAGACTCAGCCGTTACTACGCCTTCAACTACAGCAGGTATTTCTACAGTTTCATGCAGGTTGCATGTTCATGCTCTGCCTTACTTTGCCTTCCTGTGCATCAAACCACAACCCCTCACATGGCGGTGTTCTGTCTAACTGCACGTCAGGAGCAACACAAATACATTTAAATACAGCTAGTTTCATTCAACGCACAACCACCTCAAGTTCGGGGACAGAAACATCCCCAGAGATTTTTACCACTTGGCCTTCCTCCACTGTAGACAGAGATATGTATGATAACCTGATTTAACTTGTTACTAAAGAGATATTTATGTCCAAAGTTGTTTGTCTAGTCAAATGGAATGGAGGGAACATTTTTTGATAAAAATGTAATGTAAAAACAATTTTCATACTTTTTTTGTGTGTGCTTCCTGCCTTTTTGATCATATCTTAACGTGATGGTAGGGTAGCCATAGTTAGGCAGAGAAAACCTCAAACTTCAAAATGACAGCATGGCATTTATATTTAGCTTCATTTAGGAAAACAGTCATATATAACCACAGGTGTGGGTGATATGGCGACAAGTATCGCTGGTGATGACAGAGTAACACTATACATTTTCCCAGAGATTAGGATAAGTGCAAAAAACAGGACTAGAAGTTGGTATTTTCATAAATATTTGACATAAAAACACCATTAGGTTGATTAAATCTCCTCAGCTTTGGTTAATTGGCTACAACTGGATGGTGTGATGGATGATCCACCATCAATCATTCACTTTTACCAAAAATCCACTCTTTTGATCATAATTCAGCATTAAATTAACAATGATAATGGTGATTACCATTATTATTACTAATAATAGCTTAGTGGCTCTACTAGTCGCGTAGAAAGGAGAACAACAAACTTCAATGGGCCTCTGGGCAAGGCAGTTGACCAAAAGTTGACTACATTTTTCTCTGAAGTGTTTTTTTTTTTTTTAAGTGACATCCATAACAGCAAAGCAGATCAAACTAAAGCTAGAATTAAATTATTGACTATTAAATGAATTTTACATGGTAAATAACCAAATCTTTTCTATTTTTTCAGCGGCTGCCCCTGCAGGTAGTCCAACCTGGGGTAAGGACGACTTTTATTTAGTGTTTCTTTTTACACCTTTGCTATTTTACATTTTACACTTAGATCAGATAAATATTTTACAAACGCCAAATTCATTTCCAGTGAGTCAAATATGAGGTGGATTGTCACAAGTGTAGAACTCTGTGATGAACTTTGCAAAGAACCTTTGAACGCTTTCATTAGTTGTTTGTACTTTTCCAAAAATGAGCCTAAAATATGTTACATTTAATGTACAGCATAGCACTTTTTTCCTCTTAAAATGTCTTTTAAACTCTGGGACTTAATAAATTTTATGTTGCATCACTGTAATGAATAGCGACTGTCAGTGGTATTATATTGTGACAGATCCAATGAAGATACACTGATAGGCGAGGAAAAAAAACACTGACTGGAAACGGTTTGAACACAGACTGCTGCACCCGTCCAGAGTTAGTTGGAAATTCTTGATGGGGACTGTCCCCTCCAGGCCAAAGGTGGTGCAGACATGTCCACACCAGTCCTTCAGCAAGTTACGCCTGTAGATTATGACCTGTTGGATGTAAAGCCAAGCACCAATGTGAATTGGAAACAGACAAAAAGTAGTAGTCTGTGAAACATGTCGAGCCACTTTAGTTGTTTGTTATTAACGGTTAAAAGTTAGATAAATCTCACTTAGGACATCAAAGAGGGTATCATTAAAATATTACTGTCATGAAAAGGGGTGGCAGTGGATAGTAAAGTCTGGAGGTCCCTAGAGTATGCTAAATGACCCATTAATAGGAGGCGTCCTGCTTCCGCTTCCTACCTTCTTCCTTTCTAACAGCACTAATCCGACAGCCTTCATCAATGGTAATCTTTGTAGTAGTTCCAACTTGGACTAAGATTCATGCCCTGTATGATGACGTGTTGTGAGATGGTGCAACTAGTGCTTCAACTAACAATTATTTTGCAAATCGATTAATTTGTTGATTATTTTTTCGATTAATCGACTAAAAATCAGATAGCAAGGGGTTCCTTAAAAAAGATATTTTACGAAATTAAACTTTTCCACTTGAGGAGTTCTGGATAGAACATACTGACAGACCAATTTTTTTTTGTAATGTTAAATCAGAATCAGAAATACTTTAATAATCCCAGAGGGAAATTACTTTTGTTACACGCTCCAGTTACAGTTTTATATATATACACACACATCCAACTACACAATATAATAAAGATAAAAAAATAAGAATAAAAAGAGATAAAATATATACACATATAGCTCTTCCGTATATATATATATATATATATATATATATATATATATATATATATATATATATATATATATATATATATATATATATATATATATATATATATATGTATGTATATCTATGCATATGTAAAAACTAAATCCAAATAAAGTGAATATCCAACTAAAGTGGTAAATCAAAGTAAAGTAATATGTGACGTGCAAAAATAGTGCATAAATGTCTGAATC